TTTCTTAGTTAATAAATCTTTAGTTGGTTTATTTTCGGATTGGCTACAAGCGTTGTCTCTGGTGTGAGGTCTAAGGTCTAAGTCCCTTGGGTCGGAGAGTAACCTGAATATTGTTGTGATTTTGGGGTGTAAGGGACCATCTATCACAAAGGCAAGTTTGTCTGGGTGGCAAGATAGACTGGAGCACCCAAGGGGACTGTCAGTGACTCCATGGTTAGGCTGCTATACTGCTTGAAGTATTCACACTTGTTACTTGGTTGGCGAAATCTGAAGTATAGAACTCACAACTAATTTGGGCTTTATGTCCTCCTTCTGGACCCTCTGGCCTGAGGTAGGCACTCACACTTGTGAGCTATTCCAGAAAGCTTCACATGTGGCTTGTCTTACTTTTCTCTATAATAAGTTGTTTGAATATTTCTCAAGAGACATGGAAGGGAAGTATGACTAACTGTTCTAGAAAGGAGACTGAGACCTTGTGACAGGTTGTACTTGCCCCACACTGGGGACAAAAGGGTTAACACAGCACCTCTTGGTGGTAGAAGCCACACCCCCTCATCCCTGATGGGCATGCTCCAACTCCTGCTGCAGTATAAAAGGGAGCAGCCTAGCTCAGTCTGTGCTGACCACCGAGGAGGAAGGATGCATCTCGCCAGCTTCAGTTGAGGAACAGCCGGGATCCCGGACCGCGAGAGCAGGAGATGCCAAGGCCCAGACAAGCGCTCAGGTATCTGCAATGCCCCAGGGAGATTGCAGTCACTATCTGATGAGCCTGGAGACTCCAAATACTCCCTGACTTCAACTGTAGAAGTCACAATAAGAATTAGCCCAGGGAGGGACCAGCCAGTGTCTCTGCAGCAGTCTGTGTGTTATGTGCAAATTCTGCACTGACTTAGTGGCAAACCCACTTGCCATTACCAGGGCCCTAGGCTGGGACCTAGTGGACCTGGGTCCTGCTACCCTGGCTGCCCCCTTTGGGGGGCAGCCCACCAGACCTCCTCCTATTGACTCTGGCCATGAGGCCGCACTTCCCTGCAGCCAGGGGTAGTCCTATTGACTACAGCCACTGGGCCACATAACCCTGAGGCTGAGGGCAGCCATATTGACTTAATCGTGGGGCTACCATGCCCTTGCCCCTCCCCCCACCAAGGTGACGGGGTATACTTGCCCTGTGACAGACCTCTACAATAAACAGTTCCTATTCCAGAAGAGAGAGAGAAAGAGAGACCTCCATCAGGGAACAACAAAAATAAATGGTTACATTGGAAATCTAAGGGTACACACTTCACGAAAGAGGAAACTGTCAGTTGTTTTTCGAAGTCCCCTTTGTATCAACACACTGGGCCAAACTGTTTTAATTTACATATGTGTAAAACCAGAGTTGCTTCACAGTTTTGCTTCAGTGGAGTTAAAGTGTTTTTCTGGATCTAGCCAATACCTAGTTGAGGTTCGGGCCTGGATCAGTTAGGTGGGCAAAGCTCAACCCAGACAAGACCAAGGTGATATACAGTGGGTTGTCGGAAGCAGCTGGAAGAGATGGCAAAAATATTTTTGAGGGAATCCATCTCCCATCAGTCGTAAGAGTTCATAACTAAAGGTTTATTTTAGACCCCCAGCTGCTATTATAGATCATCACATCACAGACTATCACCTCAAGCTTGCTCTACATGGGCTATACCTTTAAACCATTTGGAAACTAAAGTTGGTGCAGAATGTAGCAGCTCACTTGCTATACAGAACATTTCTCTGGGAACAGATGACATTAGGGCTCTGGATCTGCACTAGTTGCTTATTGGACTCCAGATGGAATTTAAAAAGGTATTGGTCATGACGTGCACAATCCTACATGGTGTGGGAGCTGCCTACCTGACACACTGCCTCTCTCACTGGGCCATTCTGCCACAGCTGCAGTCAGAGGTGCCACCCTCTTGTTTTAAAAAGGAGGGGGCTCTCAGCAAGCCATTCTCTGTGGGGACTCTGGGACATTTGAATTTGCTCATATCATTTATTCAAAATAACTGGAACTGGATTACCTTTGGGGCACATTGCACAAACTATTATTTGATAGGGTTTGGGAGGAAGGTTGAGATTGTTCTTGGAGAGGGGAGGTAAAATGGGAGTTGTTTTAATTTACTGTTGGCTCACTGAATTATATTGTTACCCGTATGTGATTATTTAACATTGCTGGGTAGTTATCATTAATTGTTAAGGTTCACTGCGGTTTATGAATGGGCAGTTTTCATTGCTTAGAGAGAAAGACATGTATAGAGAGGACAGAATTCAGCCCAGCATCAGTAGCCTGTAAAAGTGTTTCTGTTCAAAAGCCTTAATTCAGATTTCTTTAAAAAAGAAAAAAGAAAAGAGTTCTCAAAGCCAAGGCTATCTATGTGTAAAGGAGGTGCATTTAGCTCTTTTCATTAATAAGAACATTCTCTTACCTTCGAACTGGCTGTGCAATTTTACTCCTGGGTATACTACTCCCACTTAGGGCCAATGATGGTCTTGGAAGAGCACTACGTCCTACAGTCCCAGGATTTGCAGTCTTGTTTGGCATGGGGATTCCACTGTTAGAATATAATTGTAAGGTGCTGGATAAGGGAATACTACTGCTGCCTTGTACAGTTGGGCTTACATACGCTGTGGCTTTGAGAGGCTGTCTGACAGACACAGGAAAATGTCCCACACTGTGAACTCTGTGCTGAAGTTGTCCTGGAGATGGAACTGTAAAAGGATGGTAACAATAGTATACAATGTCAGCACACAACACATATTACCAGATTTAGCACTTATTTCTAAATAAGTCTGTACAGTGCTGAATGCACTTGTCATTAGAGGAGGTGACCTTTCGTTTCAATCAAAACCAACTGTAAAACAGGTTAAATATTTAGATCCAATACAAATACATACTGCATCTGTTAGTCCAATTTAAGTAAACATTTTAAAACACCACTACCAAACAAAAATAAGATCATCAGACAAAAATCCCACCCCTACTTCACTCCTCTTTTGCTCTGCAATGATTCAATATTTATTCTATCAGAGGGGTAGCCGTGTTAGTCTGGATCTGTAAAAAGCAACAAAGAGTCCTGTGGCACTTTATAGACTAACAGATGTATTGGAGCATAAGCTTTCGTGGGTGAATACCCACTTCGTCAGACGCACGTATTCACCCACGAAAGCTTATGCTCCAAATACATCTGTTAGTCTATAAGGTGCCACGGGACTCTTTGTTAATATTTATTCTAGGTAACTAGAAGCCAAATCCCTCTAATGTAATTATAGCTTTAACATGAGACTTGTTGAAATTATAATTTATTCTTTTTCCCCAGATCACTAAAAAGTCAGTTGTTATAAACCACATGCTACTTTTTCCGTAATAAGACAATTATTTTGGCATTACAAAAAAGGTTGTACAGATATACGCTTTATGTATAAAAACAGACAAAAGTTATAAAAAGCCTCCTGAATATAACAGTCCATTCCACATACAATGTTACACAAACTATCATTTCAAATGAGTGCTGGAACATCCAAAAGCTTTAGAGCAGGGGTAGGCAACATATGGCACGGGTGCCGAAGGCGGCACGCGAGCTGATTTTCAGTGGCACTCATACTGCCCAGGTCCTGGCCACCAGTCTGGGGGGGGAGGGCGGGG